GTGTGGGCTAATAACTCATTTCCCAGTTAATTTTATTAAGAATTTATAGCACTGTTTAGAAAGTTTTAAGACAACCATAAATTTTATTAGGAATATTTTATTAAGCCCTCCATTTAATTAATAAAAGACCTCTATAACTTCTGAAAATGTCAGAGCTAGTAATTATGTTAACCAGTGTGATTTTTCCCCCTCTAGAGACCAAAGCGTTTTAATGATCTGAAATAGAAAAGTGGTAAGGAAAACACTCCCCCACCTCCAAAATTTTTTTGTTCACTTTTGCATTATGCAGTCAGAGTATAGTGAGTTAGGTATTCTCCCTGTGATGGCTACAAAGCCTCAGCTGACCTTTCATTGACTTCTGAACTGGACCCAGACATTCTTTGTTTTCTGAAGCAAAATGCAGTAAACAAACCTCAGGGTTCTTACAGCCAGGATTGCTTTGGGGCACTTGATTAACGTCTTCCCTAATCCTGTCGGTTAACCCCCTTTCATATCACCTAACCAGGTTTCTCCCTTTTATAGACCTCTAAATAGTTTATTTCACTTTTCTCACAGCCATTCATTAGCTTTGACTTCTTGGTACCTTTCTCATACCGAATCCAGGCTCTTATCTCCAACATTCCTCTATTATCTCTGCTAGATTCGAAATCTATTTCCTTTAAACTGTCATTCCCTCCTCTTATTTCTGTTTTTTGAAATGCAAATACTAATGTGAGGTGAGATTCTGTTCTTGAAGAACAAATCCTAAGCCTCCAGTCCACAGGACAACCTAAAGAGTAATCACAACATTTTAACAGGCATCTTAAAGTTAGGTGGCAGATGATAAACCCTTATCATTCTGTGAACACAGCTGCCAAACTCGATTGATTAACAGGCTTTTGTTTATTCTGGGCTGGCAAATACACACACATTTTACCTTAAGAGGTGCCTTTTTAATTTCTGAGGGTTTTGGAGCTGACTCATCAGTGTGAACTTCAGGGACAAAAGCCTAACTCAGGATATAGATCTTTCCATCGGCAGAATTCTTTATAGGAGAAGAGAAAACTAGAGGGAAGTTCTTAGGGAGGACTGTACCAACAGTCTCCTTGCCAGAGGGTCTAGGCAATAGAGACCTAGGCCCCAGACTGCCCCTTTAGAGTCCTCGTTCTCTATCTTTGGGAAGATGCTCCAGATGAGAAGGGTAAGATGGGTATGGAAGACCCAGGTAGAGGGGCAAATGCCAGAACTCTTCACCAGGCCAAGTTTTTGCAAAAATAAAAGTATTTTGCCTTAAAAAGTAAGTATCTGCCATAAGCTAAAGATAGGTACTGTCAGAGAAGAGGTATAAATATCAGCATTGGTTTTCTAAGATACCTAGAACTATCCTTTTACCTTTTCCTTTTAATAGATGATTAATTGCTGCTCTGCTAAAGTTGTTTTTTTTTTTTTATGGCTACTATATTGCAACCCCAGACATAGTCTGTGCAGTTTCTCTCAGCAAGCCCCAACTGTAATAACTGTTTGCTAATTGTAAAATCCTTATCCAGAATGAGGTTTGGGCAAACAATTTGTACTACTATAATTACATTGTAAAAGTGTTTTAGTCTCTTGATTGTTCAGAATTAATCTTATGAAGGCCTAGGACCATCAGCTTCACAGTTATACTTGGAAAGGAAGGGAGGGAAGAAAGAAGACACTTTTCAAAGCTCATGAGTTTAGCTTAAGCCCACCAATTCAAAGTATGTCTTTCTTTAAGGAAAATCTGTTTTTAGGTAATTTAAAGTTGAAGATCATGGTTGAAAAGCACAATAGTCTTTCTACTGCTTTAAGTTTGGGGTTGTGCTGGAAAAGGAGAGACTTACCTGAATCTTCTTTTTCCATCCCAGCTAGAAAACAAAAGAGGAAACTTACCAGAAAGCATCAATACAAAATACATTCTATTGTCAAAGAACTATGTATATCAAAACTGGCCTGTTCACACTTGAAAACGTGGCCGCAGACCTGAGGTAACACCAAGCCTTAGTCTTTGCCGGGAGAACCCCTAGGGCTGTTAAAGACTATGGTCATCAAAATGTATTTCGCAGTAAATTTCTCTCGGTTAGATTATACTCACACAATTCCCTTCGCAGTTCATTTTAGGATCATAAATGTAGCTGTGCCCGTGTCAGTGTTTGGCTTGACGCCCCCACCCCCTACTTCGTTCCCCACTGCCGCCACTCGCGCTTCTGCCCAGCGGGCCTGCTGGAGAGAAGGAGCTCACAGCCCAGCCAGCAGCCGTCGGAAGGCGCCCAGGTGTTGGCGAAACCGGCTGGGGTTCCAGGAAGGCGGCCGGCCCAGTTTGCTCCCCTCTGTAATCTGAAAAGGACTGCCTTTCCTGGCCCAGTCAGCGCAGCTTCCCGAGAATTAAACAGAGAAATCGCCTTCCTCAATACCGGGAGTTTCTATTTTGGCCTGAAATTCTGTTTCCAAGTTCACGTTGGGGAAGGGCTGGGGGAGTGGGGGAGAGAGGAGGAGCGGGGTGGGGTGGTGGTGTCAGGCAGTGGCATAAAGGCGCTGGTAATTCACCTGGATCCTCTCCGCTCTGACACGCGGCCCTGCCTTAACCTCACGCGTGCTGTATCGAGGACTTTGCACCAGAAAACTCTATACTTGTTTGCGATGGAGAAAAGTAAAAGATCTTAAAACTTGGGGAGTGAGGTGGTAAGGAAGAAAAAGGAAGAGAGAGATGCAAATGATGAGGGATCCTAGGATGAGTAGTTAAAAGAGAACGCTTTCAAGGCAAAACGAATCCGCAGGCTTTGGGTGAACCTATTTGTCCTTTGGACACACTTGGGGCGAGTTCGGAGTTGGGGAGGGGATGATGTGCACGAGGCTGGGAAAGCTAAGATGCTCGACTTTGTGAAACCTCTACTCTTTGGGGGAACGGGGCGTTGACTCGTGAGAAGTATTAAAAGAAGCAATACTCGTCGCTTAGGGAGATACGTGCGCTCAGTGCAACCTGATTCCAGATCTATGTTCTGATGTTCGCCCTGAGTCCCCTGCTCCTCCAAAGCCCACTTAAACAGAAACTTGAATTTTGTCTTTTGGACTGATGCGAATTCTCTTTTAGTCTGAACATTAAGAGTTGGCTTCCATACATGTTAGAACTCCTGATCTTTTTCAATCTCTGCGGATGCGAACCCCTAATCTTTCTCAAAACTCTTCTCCGTACCTACACCTCCCCCGCTTCGGGGTGAAGGTTGGTTCGCAGCTGGCCGTGTGGGAAGAAGGTAGGGGCGAAGCAAGCAAGGGGCCGGCTGCTTTGGGAGAGTCAGCCTTTTGGCCACCATCAGGGCGGGAATCGGGACTGGCAGTTTGCATTCCCGGCAGATCGAAGCTCCCTGCTGATCGATTATTTGATAATTGATTTTCCCCGCAGCCAATGCGCGGCAGCCTTGGCAGGGGCGCCTCCTGATTGGCCGAGCCCTCCTCCCGGCTGCCTACCGAGATTTGGGTGAGCTCATTTTCCAGTCGACCGCAGGGGGAGTTTTCTGCGAGGTTTCTGTCGAGGGAGGGGAAAAAAAAAAAAATCCTGCTCCGAGCTGAGCGAGCTGCGAGCCCTGATCCGGGATGTGAGGTTTCCAGCCCGCTGGTTGAGCGGCTACGACTGAGCCATCTCGGCAGATCAGAGCCGGGCGGGCAGAAAAATAAAAACGAAAATGGCACCACTTAATATAATAATAAAAGACAGGCTTAGAGTGGGAGAATAAAGAAAAGGAAATTTCTTGTTTAAACTGGAGAATAGGTATTTAAAAGGAGAAAGTTCACACTAGTGTCTGGTTGGGGCCTCCGAGTTGTGGGTAGGGGCAGCTTTTTGTCTGAAATTTCAACCCCTGAAGTGAATTTCTTTTTCTTTGGCACTGGGAGTTTTTTCCCTACGCCGGACTGGGGATTGAAAAGCGGAGTCAGTGTAAGAAAGTCCGGGGAGAAGAGCGCGGGGCGTCGCCGCGGAAAGAGCTCGGCGGAGGCCGGAGCCCCTCGGCGCCTCGAAGACAAAGGCGGCGCGGCTGCAGTCCCAGCCGAGCGCGCCGACCCCGCCGCGCCGCGCCGCGCCCTGGGCGCACGGCCGTCTCTCCCGGAGCCGGTCGGAGAAAGAGCTTCATTCCCCGCGGCTCCTGGCCCGGGCTCCACCCGCGAGGTCTGGGCTGCTCCGAGCCCGAGTCGGGTTTCGCTTTCCGGCGATCATAAATAGCTTCGTGTTTGTAAACAGGCGCTGGGGGCACATTCCCTGCTCTCGGCTCATTGTTCCCTCCCTTCCTCTCTCACTCCGCGCAGGACGCCAGGACTGGGGCTGGGGGCCTCCGGGACTAGGAGATGGGGAGGTTCAGACCCCCAGAGTGAGAAAATGCAAGCATTTGCTTTCTCGGGCCGAGTGTCCTCCTCTGACAGCAAAAAAAACCTCTTAAGCTAGATATGCAGAAAGCCCCAGCAATCCCCACCCCGCGTTCTCAGGACTCCTTAGCAGACCCTTTCCCAGCCGTGCTCCTGCTCCTCTTCCTCTTCGCTCTCGGTTTGACTTTTCTACGTGGAGTATTTGGTTCTAAGAATCCACTACTTTCTGCATCAGCCCCCCTCCGAGCCGAAAAACACAGGCAGACCCCAATAATTTCGAGGAAAGTCAGGAAGTCTATCCGCGGATCCCTGGGCAAAAGAACTCCCGCTGCGGCTTGTCCCGCGTTTATTCCCGATTTATTTCAAGAGAGTCAGCTTTGGGGAGAGAGTCTGGAGGGGGAGGGAGAGAAAAGAAAACGGAAAATAAAGCCGGCGGCCGGGGGCTTCTGCCCGCGCTTGTGCGCGTGTGCCCTGGGTGTGTGGGTGTTTGTGTCTGGGCGTGCGATTTAATGGAGCGCCTCTCTGCCTCTCCAGTGCGGCCAGAGCTCGCTTCGCGCACCCACCCCTGCCGAGGAGTCTACTTGCTGCAGCCCAATGCATTGTGTAAGACGCGACCTGTTATGGCCACCACTACTTCCGGGTTCTAGCATTCTGGTCGGAATCCACCTCTCCGCCTGTGCAACACACACTTTACACACGCACGGGGACTGCAAGCGGGCAGCATCGATCGTGGCTCCTTTAAGACAAACTCAGACAGACATTTTTTTTAACCCTCCTCCTCTAATCTCCCTCCAGTGCAGCAGTTGCAAAGACGGAGAGAGAGAGAGAAAGAGAAAGAGAGAGCGAGCGAGAGAAGAGAGAAACTGATTAGGAATTAGGACTGATTCAAGGGAAGCGAACGCTAGGGCTTTGTGCATTTGAATATTAACATTTGAGGTGTTCTGACCAGAAGAAGACAGAGCGGATGATCATTCATTCACCACGTTGACAACCTCGCCTGTGATTGACAGCCGGAGTGGCAGAAAGCCATGAGATTTGGTAGTTGGGTCTGAGGGGCGCTCTTTTTTTTTTTTAAACTGATTTTTTGGGGAGAGAAGATCTGCTTTTTTTTTTTTTTTCTTGCCCCTGCTGCTGTCTTGGAAACGGAGCGCTTTTATGCTCAGTGACTCGGGCGCTTTGCTTCAGGTCCCGTAGACCGAAGATCTGGGACCAGTAGCTCACGTTGTTGGAGACGTTAAGGGATTTTTCGTCGTGCTTTTTCTTTTTTTTTTTCCGGGGGAGTTTACGTATTTGTTTCTTTTCACACTGGCCTTAAAGAGGATATATTAGAAGTTGAAGTAGGAAGGGAGCCAGGGAGGCCGATGGCGCAAAGGGTACGTATTAAAAAACAATTGTGGAACTCAAATGTGAAATTAAATTGAAACGTGGCTGAAAGACACTGTTAAAAAGTTTCCTTTTTTCTCTGTCTTTTTTTGAATGAGGCTCCTAAAGCCTTGGCCTAAAGCAAGAGGATTTATTCAATGCATTTGTAGACTTATGCATGTTACATGTAATTGTTAATTCAAGTAATCAAGTTTCCTATAGGTTCGTAACCAGCAGCTATATAAATAAAAATACAAGCTTGGGCAATCATCTGTTTAAAAAACAAAAAGCGCTGGATACTTGATGTTAGATAGCCTGAACATTCAAGGAGCAGAAGTTTAAAGCTATTTTTAAACTAAAATAAGCAGTGAGAAACTTCTGATATGTTATTGATTATGCTCATCTTTAATATCACTGGAAGGGTTTAGCATTTTTAAGCAAATAACTTTGTCATAGTACAACAGTTTTTTTTTGGGGGGGGGGTCGGAAAGCATTCATCTTTTAAAAGTAATTTTAATGTACATGACTTTTTATACAAGGTAATATTTTGTAAGTTTTTCTTAGAAAAGCCCTACACTAATTGGATCCTAAGCACACAACTACTCACTTTAAAAATGCAATACTAATTTCCCCAATATTCCTATTTGAATGGAAATGTAGTGAGAGTAAAGTGAGACAATGACAACCCAACAGAGGTAGTTTCTTTAAAGAAAGGGGATCTACAAAAAGCCTTCCTTGCATAAATTGTGCCCTGGCCCTCAAAGCTCTGTTTGCAAAAGAAAGTTACTAGGCTGACACATTTTTTCTTTACTCCTTTGGTTCAGGCAAATGTCAGCGTTCTTCCAAACTCTTTTCACACCTCTGGCTTTAAGGAGATGAAAGTGGCAATTCCTCTTTGAAAATCATTTCACTCTCGGTGCCTCCAAATCTTGGGAAAAGAACTTGCCTGAAATGAAGCAATGAGAAAAACCTCAATAGCTAAATTTTGCACACAAAAATAATGACAATATGAAAGTAGTTTTTCTGGAGAACGAAGATGGGGGGTGGTGGTTTGAATGTGCATTTACTTTTAAATTTGCTTTAAATCTGATGACTAACTATTTACCCCATTGCCTTCTAGTTTAGGGGGAAAGTTCATAATAGTAGAAAGAATAACTGTTCCAACTATAGATTTTCTTTTAACTCGGGGGGAATATTGGCTAATTCCGAATTCAGCCCTAATGTCCAAGAGAAGTTACCCTTCTCTGAGTTTCACTTATAAAGGGGGCAGTTATTTTTGTATGATTTTGCAGAGTTTGTCTTGGAGAGCAAAGGAAATGCAGTGTCTTGCAGGACTGCCTAACCCCACGCTGGCAGGGAAATAAATTGAGAAGCCTGTCTGAATTCACGTGCTTGGCTTAGCTGTTCTCATCGTAACTTTTTTTTTTTTTTAATTCCCCCCGATGGGAAGGGGCTGTGAAACTAGGCAGGTTTGTTGCACTGTCCTGGCACGTTTTATTATTGTGATTTTGAATTTCCTCCTCTAGAGACATGCACGATTTACCTTTCGCCCTCCGGGAGAATGCCTCCCTTTCTTCCTTCTTTCTTCCTTCCTTCCTTGCCAAAGGATCCTGAATTTCTGACTAGTTGATAGGGCCACAAGTTAGGGCAAGACCATTCCAACTAGCCGACAATCCTAGAGTTTTTACTTAAAAAAAATTTTTTTTTTTAAATGAGAAATCTCAACTTCAGAGAGGCAAGGCCCCCGAATTCGGGGTTGAAGGGTCCAGCTGGACTGACGTTGTGTAAGCTCCGTGCCCTGCCGTCTCCCCTGTGTGCCTGCCTGGCCTTCTGAACCTTGTTTCTCTCCTGTTTGTCACCAGTACGACGATCTACCCCATTACGGGGGCATGGATGGAGTAGGCATTCCCTCCACGATGTATGGGGACCCGCATGCGGCCAGGTCCATGCAGCCCGTCCACCACCTGAACCACGGGCCTCCTCTGCACTCGCATCAGTATCCGCACACAGCCCACACCAACGCCATGGCTCCCAGCATGGGTTCCTCGGTCAATGACGCTTTAAAGAGAGATAAAGATGCCATTTATGGGTAGGTACGACGGGCAGCAGGTTCAGTAGTTTCGAGGCGAGGCTTTCTTTCCCCATTTCCCTTTGCCCTCGATAGGAGGAAAGTCAGAGCTCTCTGGATTTGGAGGTACATTATTTGGTGACTTTTCATTCTCTTTGCATGGAGATTTGGGGGAGGCGGCCAGCCCAGACGCCCCCCGCGCCCGCCCCCGTCTCCGCTCAGGCTCCGCGCGGGTCCAGCGTCCAGCTCCGCCGAGGCCATGCCCGCGGAGGGGTCGCCGCGCGAAAGTTGCCAAAGCTCCCTCTTCCTCCCACCACCCCCCGCAGACTCCGGCTCCGTAGTTCGGCGGGTTGGAGTCCTCACTTGCTCGACTTCTCGGGGAGAGTGTTGGGGATTTCTAAACGTAGGCGCCTTTGTGTTGGAACGAAACTTTGAGTTTAAAGGAAAATCTTTTAAGCCACTGATTGTTCTGACTTGCTAAGTTTACTCAGCCACCGTATGCTGGCCTTGCCACCGCACAATAAAATCAAGGGAGGACAGTTGCAGGTCAGGCAAGGAGGAACAGGCTTTGCATTTATGGAGTTTGACCACTGCAGTCGAGGAGAGGAGCTCACTCTGAATTGTTACAGACCTTAAGAAACTTCTGGCCGTTTTAGGACTTTGTGTTTAAGGGCGAAACTTGCAGGATTTAGAAGTAGATGCGGGGTGCTCTCGGCCGGTGTAGGGTTCTGCTGCGGTTCACACCGTGTTCTCCGGGGCCCTGGAGTTAGACCAAAACCCTCTGAAAGTCACTTGTGCCTACTGTGTGCTGAGGTATTGGGGGACTGCTTTTTACTTTGCAGCCACGTTTATTTTCATTTATTTCTTCTTTTGAAAGACAAAAAACCCAGGTAACACTGACCCTCCCCGACTGAAAACCCTTTCTGCTTTATCTTCTGGTTCCTTGTGCAGTGGGCTTGTTTAAACCCCAGCGTCCTCTCTGCGGCGTTAACTGCAAATGGTTTAGGCTCCCGGACAGAACATTTGGGGAAGCTTTGAAAAGGACCCCAAACTATTAAATTCGCAGCCGGGCTGTGAGAGCTAATAAAAGACTTGAGACACCTCTTTGGGCATTAGAAGAGGCTTGTTTTGTTTTGTTTTGTTTTTAATGGGCTGAGATAAGCAACATCTAGGCCCCTCGCAATACTAGCTGCTTGGCCATTACGCAGGGACAAAATGAAAGGCCTGACCGCAGACACATTTGAAGGAACTTTCTTGGGGGGCGGGGTGGGGGGGCGGTGGGGACCGTCGCGAAGTGAGGGAAGTGTGCAGGGAGCCGAGGAGGAGCCCTCGGCCCTCTGAGGGCCGTGGGGTCGGGATCGGTGGTCCAGCGCTCTGACAGTCGGTCAGTCCCACAGCCAGAGAGGTCCTTGCCCCAAGTTAGCTGAGCGCCTGCCTCCAAGATCCCCAGAGTCTGAGCTTCCCGGGGCGGCCTCGGAGGAACCCACTTGAAGGAGATTTCCCACCTCCTGCGCCCCCGCGCCTTTCTCCTCTTCCAGGTCCCGGGTGTGCATCGGAGGGCCGAGGGCTGGTCGGGGTGGGAAACTTAATTCAAAATGGCTGCTGGAACCGCTTGGGTTTTATTCTTAGCAAATGTTACTAATTTCTCAGGCCAGATAGGCTGAACCGGTCCCCAGATACGGTCCATGGCTTAGGGCCTCCGACTTTGGGGGGCCCGAGGAGGAAGGGGAGGTGAGCAGTCACCTGGGGGGTAGGGGTGGGGGAAGGGGAACAAGTAGATGTCAAAATCAGGGTGAGGGAGGTCCCCGTCTTGAGCTCCTCCGGCTGTTTTTCTTGGGCTCCTTGTTTCACTGCCGCGGGACTAACCATTGTGTTGTTTGTGACTGTTGTATTTTCTTGCAGACACCCCCTCTTCCCTCTCTTAGCACTGATTTTTGAGAAATGTGAATTAGCTACTTGTACCCCCCGCGAGCCGGGGGTGGCGGGCGGGGACGTCTGCTCGTCAGAGTCATTCAATGAAGATATAGCCGTGTTCGCCAAACAGGTCAGCAAAATCAATGTTTCAAAAGTAAAAAGAAAAAAGAAAGAAAGAAAGAAAGAACCTCCCTCCACCGTCCCCCCCACCCCCAGCACATTTGCAAAAGTAACCAGCTAAACAGTCTGCCCTAAGCCAGGCCTGGTACACCTTCCCTGAGTTTTTCCTCCTAAATCAGTGTCTGTTTGCGGACGCCCGAAAATCACCCCACTTCTGACCCACTCCCGCTCCCTAACCCGACGCAGAAAGCTCTCTCTGTAAAATGGGACCCCAAACCCCCCGCGCAGGACCTTCCTTGGAGTTGGCGAGCTGGGCAGGGATCTCTTAGCAGCACACTGCTGGGAAAAGTAACCCTGTGCTCTGGGCTTGTTTTCAGATTATTTGACTCATATTGAAGGGTTTCTGCACGGGACGAACTCGGTATCACCGAGTCTGTCCCGGAGGTTACATCCTGCCCCCGACAGTGTAATGAGGCAAGAAACTAGGAAGGCGACCAGATTTCAAATGTTTCTTTCTCCCCCTCTCCCACCCCTTTCCCCTCCCTCTCCCCTCTCCTTCTCACTTGTATTTAGATTCGCGCAGAAAAACCTCTCTTTTCTTCTAATCCAGAACTGGATAACTTGGTAAGAGCGGACCCCTTACTCCCCTCCCCACATCTTCCCTCCCCCAGCCCCCCTTCTCCCCATCCTTTGCTCTGAGCGCCCTGAGGTTTCTAGACCCTTCCCCCCGTAGCTTGCAAGTGGGCTGCAAGGGTTTCCATCCACCGGCAAGTGGGACGGGACGGGGTCTGGGGAAATAAATTCACCACGAGAGGGGCCGGGTGAACCGGCGCGGGGAAACGCGAGCTTTTGTTTTTTATGACAGCCGGGCAGCGCGGCTCTAATCAGCCCGGGGATTTATCTCCGGGCCTGTCAGCGTGTGTGCTTAAACTTTGCGGACTTCCCAGCCCTCAAAGTCGCGTCACGAGGGCAAGCAACCAGGCGAGACCCCCCAAACCATCAGTTTATCGGAAAGGTGTGCATAAGGCGGCAGAAAGTTTGCAGTGTGAAAAGCCACAGTTTGGAGACTATTGGGAATATTTTCCATGCACGCCTTCCAAGGAAATACCTAGTGGAGGGGTGCGGCCCTTTGGGGTGGTGCAGGGACAGTGGGGCTGAGAAAGAGGGGAGCTATGGGCAAGGAGAGTGTTTATGACCCCCACTTAGATGCTTGGTTGTTGTTTTAGCTCTTTTTTTTCTCCTTAAGAAATATAAACCTCTAGATGGTACCCAGTCGCTGCTGTTAAGTTTTAGTGTTATTGCCATAAATCAAAATAACTCTATTTACTGGGGGGAGGGGAGGGCTGGGGATGTTAGAGCTGTGACAGCCAATTTTCTGCAAGCTACGAATGGGGCGCTCATTCTTTTTGTATCTTTGCAGATGATTCAAGCCATACAAGTATTAAGGTTTCATCTGTTGGAATTAGAGAAGGTAATTTCTCTAGCTTTTTTTCTCCTTTTGCTTCCCCCTCATGCCCAAACACACAGAAGGGGAGGGTTCAGAATGGCTGAAGTTCAGGCTTCAGAGACATTTGCATAAACGTCTTTCTTTCTGGTAATTAGTGTCAAGGCCAATCTTTGCGTCCATTTCTCTTTGCAGTTTAATTACAATTTCAGACACTAAAACTGGGATCACAAACGCCCTAGCCTTGTATTCATTCTTAATACCTTGCTGGCTTTGTGTAAGTAGTTGCAGGGCTATGCATCCCCTTGGATGTTTAGAAAGCTATCCTGAATTTGCTTCACAGGTTGTACCTTCTCTTCTTCCTCCTAGTCTTCTTTGCTACCTCTGGGGGTGGGGGGGGGGGGTGGTTTGTTTAGTTTTAGTGAGTTTCTGGAAGACAGTCTGAGAGCAGCGGCAGGTCAGATACAGAGGGAGAGGCGGAGTGGGAGGAGGAGTGGGCCAGGAGTCTGGAGGAGGCGGTGGGGGAGGCACTTTAAAGGTTCTGCGGAGACAAAGCAGAGTTGATAGTTGTGTCAGTTTCTGGAATCTGGGAATCTTGCACACATCCCACCTTCACACTCAAGAAAGGGTGTGGGATAACGTGATTTTGCTAGCTGTTCTATAAATCTCAGCAATAAAAACTTAATGCATTGTAATTCAAAGTAACATTAAATTGCAAGCACACTGAGGTTTCTTGTGAATTTTTGCATGTCAGTGATGCCTGGGTCCTGTAAGACACCGCTCCACCTATCCCTAAATATTTTGAAGCATTCTTTTCCCTTAAAAAATTAATCAGTTTGATACCTTTTTGTGGCTGTAAGGGTTCCCCCCCACACACATCATGAGTCTTTTTTTTTTTAAGGAAGCATCCTAATATATGCTTCTTACAGATAGAAACCCTAATTACCAATGTTAAAGGGACTTGGATTGTCAGGCATATATCCTATACCAACACAGTACTGGTCCTTTATATACATACACAAATATGTATATTTAATTTTTTTCTTAGACATGTTGGAAAAGGATTTATGATAAAAATAACTGGACAAAATTAAATAGTTTACCTTAAATGTCACCCACGTAGGTCACCTCTTTAATGGCCACGGCCCCAGGAGCAGATGAATTTAACACGGGTGTTGAATATGTTGTAGCCTGTGAAGCATCTTGTCACTGTCAATTTTCTGGGATATCTCTATTTTGCAAGAAAAGAAAGTTATTCCTAATTCTGGATGCGTCTGGGGGTCTCTGGAGGACAATTGCCCTGTGTTTCCCCTATTTAGAAGTTTGGATCTCACAAGGGGGGTGGATTGCACTTGTCAATGTCATTTATGAACTCCTGATTATATTTCCATTTTTTTATTTCTGTCATAATGTAGGTACACGAATTATGTGACAATTTCTGCCACCGGTATATTAGCTGTTTGAAAGGGAAAATGCCTATCGATTTGGTGATAGACGATAGAGAAGGAGGATCAAAATCAGACAGTGAAGATATAACAAGATCAGCAAATCTAACCGACCAGGTATGCGCTTTTCAATTTCAACATCCCTGGGAAAAAAAATCTGTATGCATATTGCTTGCTGGATCACTACCACCTCCTTTTATTATTTGCATATGATTAAGTCCCTTTTAGATACATTTCCATCGAAATGAAAATTTTTGAATAATGTGGCTATTATTGCTTCATTAAGGCTGGCTCTGGGATTCGACCTGGAGAGATGAGCTTGTAAAAGCTTTGCCTGCAAACTTGACCTGTTTCTTGTCGCTTTTAATTTTTGTCTTTATTTTATTTACCCTCTACAATAATGGGAGTGTTAACTGCCAGTGACCGCCTCTGGTGGTAGGGCTTTGTTCTTGAGCATTTTTCCCCCCTTCTCTCTCAAAGAAAAGAAAAGTGTAAGGACTGCTTATTTCTTATTTTATTAGGAATAAACCCAAGATAGGTGGTCTGAGAGAGACAGGGAGGGTTTGAAATCTAGCAAATGCTTGCTATTTTCTCCCTGTCTATACGGTTCATTAGCCTGTCTTGTCAGTTTTCCTCGGCCGAACGCTTCTAGACCTCACTGAACATTGCTTTGTGCAGTGCTTGCTGCAAGCTCGCCCATTTTATTGTACTTAATAGAAAAAATAAGACCAGGCCGAGGTTAGAAAAACAGATAAATATGGACGTTTCTCCTCCTCCTTTCTACTCATCCTCCAGCCGGTACGTGCTCTGGGCCCTCTGGGTTGGCAGCTTTTGGAAGCGTCTGCGTCAGGGGCTCCTCGCGACTCCCTCGGTGTGGCGGTGTGGCCGTGTGGCGGGTGGGGGGACTTCGCGCCGCCCTGCTCTCGCTGCCGGCCTCCGCTGGCTTCGCCCCCTCCTCTCGTCCTCCAGGCCCTTCTTCCTCTGCTGCGTTGCTAAGTGGGGACGACTTTTATTTGGAGCTGCTGGGGGTGGGGGCAGATTTCTCTCACCCCAACACCAATGTTTGTTCCTAGTCCCTCTCTCCCTCACTCCCGTCTCTGTCGGCCCAAAGGAGTTGAGAAAATGCACAGAAAGTGAAAACGTGAGGAGTGGATGAGATGAAACAGGGTTCAGGACAGTTTTCGGTTGCGAATTATGGCAGGGCGTCTAGAGATCTGGGTGGCGGGCCTCCTGCGCCTGTCCACCTATAAGTGAAGGCCCTGAGTTGTTTCTCTTTCTGACTTGGCACGTGAGTCCTGTCTTGTGAGAGAGAGCAGCCTGCCTTTGTTAAGCCAAAGGACAGCCAGTCATACAGAGTTTTCTTTGCACGCTCTGCCATGATCACGGTTGGCCAGCGACTGTCTTGCAGAGTCCTTGCCGAAGTGCCCGACTCCTCGTCTTGGTGTCATCCTCAAGGTTGCTTCTCCCCATTAGCACTCCCTTCAGTCCCCAGTTGCATTTCTCTGGGTGACCCCCTCGGCAGAGGTGAAATTCTTCCTTTTACCCCAAGGAAGTGGAGGGCAGGCAAAGCTGAGCTTTAAAAGCGTCAACGCGCCGGGTCCTTTCTAATTGGCGAGTTACAAACTTTCGGCAGTGTAGACGAGTGCCCGGAACAGGCAGCCTACGCGATTCTGGCGCGGCCCCCGGTCCCCACCCCCGCCGGCCGCTCGGCCTCCCGCCTGGTTCAGGCTGCCAGCCCTGTCCCCGGAGCTGTTAAATGCAGATTCTGCAGAGGAACCCTCGGGTAGCTGCTGTTGAATAAAAATTGTAATCCAACAAGCCTAACTAAGAAAATGGGATTCTAAAAGCTCCGGAGTGCTGGGTACATAAAGCTATTTGAGCAAATTACAAGAATCGCTTAGGGGCATGAATGAAATCAACACTTTAATTGCCTCCAAAATGAAGATTTATACCCCATTTTCCCCAACGAATCATTATTTTATTAAAATCAAAGATAAAGGACCAGAGTTAGGGGTGTTTTAAGGGTACAAAATTGGTAAAACAAAATTGAGTCCTCCCTCCACTCCTTAGGTAAACTTTTGTTACTCAGTTACCTTTATTTGAGACATGCGGATTGGTGGGCAGTGGTCAGGGGTGAAAACTGGCACTTCATTCTCCTCCCCAACTATAAAATGAGCAGCGTACCTCCCTCCCGGCCGCTTACGAGTGGGGGCTTCGCAGCTCTGGCTAAGCTCGTGGCTCGGTGGGCCTGTGCGCGTGGGCGCGCTCGCGTGACCCTCTCGGGCTCACCGAGATCTCAGTTGGGCGCAGGGCCGCAAACTCCAAGTGTATGCTTCGGAATTGTCCGTTTCCCAGAAGCCAGGAGTGAGTGTGCCTGGGCTCCCTTTGGAGAGGGGCGCGCAGAGCGCGGGGCGCACGCGGGACTGTGCCTCAGTCGCGGGGTGGAGTCCCCTGTCCTGGGAGGTGGGGACGGAGGGAAGAGGCACTAGGGCCGCCTCATGGGCGCCAGTCCTCCTAACTGGAGCCGGCTCGCCGGCCCCCAGGGGCCGGGCCCGGAAAGGACTGCCTCGCCACCTGTCTGCGAATGCGGCCCAGCCAGTTTGAGCCCCAGTGGCGGGTGTGCTGCGGGCCTGGATGCTTCAGGTGTGGTGCGAACGCGGGGCGCCGTTTGCTCATTAGCTCCTCTGTCTCTAGGGCCTGTGGGCAGTAGGGTTTATTTTATTTTACTTTTCTCCTCGGAGGGCGCGAAGGCTGCCACCCGCGCGGGGACTTGAAATCCACGACTTGGATACCAGCCGGTTCCCCGGAGGGCTCAATCGGAGGAAATCCACTTGGCCTTGAGGCGTCCTTAGTTTGGTGCTTTGTTTTTCTCATCAGATTAAGGTGCCCCTAGAAGCCGTCATCCCGCTCTCACCCCACCCTCAACGCCCTCCCCCGACTCCCACTCCCAGACCCCGACTTCCCAGGTCCGAGACTCACCTACCTCGGGCGCAGGCCTCCAGGGCGCCCTCTCCTGACGGCCTCGCTGCCCGCTCGGCACGGTCGCTCCCGACGCCCGGGGCCTGGGGGCAGCGAGGGGCACCCGGCCTTTCCGGCCTCTGCAGGGCGCGAGGGCCGGGCTGAGACCCCGGGAGCGGGCGCAGAGGGGATCCACCGTGCGAGGCGTCGAGGCCAGGGTTGAGCCTGGTTGGAGAAGGACGGAGGGCGCAGGGAGGCGGAGCGCGAGTTTGGGGGACCCAGAGTGGAATTGGGGTCGCCACGAGGGGTTAGGCGGGGAAGAATCTGGCTGCCAGACGCTGGACTTCAGGCCGCCCTCCAGGAAGAAGCTGTCGAATAAAGCCTTCCTTCCTAGGGCTGTTTGTTTCTCGCCACTCCTTGAATCTAAGCATTTTCCACTCCAAGGACAGTCGCGAGAGGGAGAGGAGAGAGAAGCAAGAGTCCCTCGGGCCCCCGAAGGCCACCAAGCGAGGTGGCCAGGCCCCCTCGCAGCGAGCGGGTCTAGCTGAGTCTGGGCTCAGGCGCCAACCCGGGTTCTCCCACAAGCAGGGGGAGGCAAAGAAAAGGTCCCTCTGGATTACAATTTTTATTCAACAGCAGCTCTCCGGGGGGTCCTCGGCTGAATCTGCATTTAACGGCTCCTGTTCGAGGGCTGGTGGGCTGCGCAGGGCGCCCTGTTGCATGTTAATCTAGATTTGTCTCTGACATCTGGGGAGAAGTAATGTGGCTCCCGGAGATGGAACCAGAAAGCCATGCTCGCCAGGCAGGTTAAATGCCAAGCGCTGCTGAGCTCCCCGGGGAGGGGTGACCGCCGCCGGGGCTGCGCGGCCCAGGCCGGAGAGCAGCAGGCTTCCGGGCCTCTGGGATCAGGGGCAGCCCTGGGCCAGTGCGCCTTGGTTTCCCAGTGGGGCCGGGGAACCCAGGTGGCAAGTGTTTTATTTGAAGAGTCCAGAACGTTGTTTCTAAAGCATTGTTTGAGATGACCGTCTTAAAACTGAACTTGAACTTGACAGAAAACACCCCTTCCCTGCAAAGTGGGATGGGGACACGTCCAAGGGAGATTTAAGCTTTCTCTTTTGAGGAGGTGTTGCTTAGGGATGGGGAGGCCTAATGTTCTTCATTTATTGGATCCACTGCTTTAGGAAAAACAAAATAGATGAGGCCAAGGGATATTTACTAATACTAGGAATGCAAGCAATTTTGTTTTCATCCATTGAGAAAAATGACACAAACATGGAGGGATAAGAAAATATCAATTAGTTTGTTTCTAAATGCTTAACACATGGACACAACTTATTTAAATTATAAGTGCTTTTAGGGTCTCACTTAATGTCTTAATCTTGGAACCTCTGAGTCCACAGGCCTTGAAGGCCATGGAGTCTTAGAATAATCTGACTTTACTTTTGATTATTGTTGTGAGTCATGTGGGATACTCTTAATTCCTCTTGAAATATGTCAGAGGGAAATTATGGCAAGATTCTCTTTAATGATTAAATAATAAGGTGTTGACTGCTTGTCACTACAGTCGCTAATTGGGATGTTCATTCTAGGCCCTTTGTTGCTTAGTATCCTTTGATTTCAAAGATAGTTGTTTACCAGGTGTGTTTTTATTGTTTTCTGATTGGCTCCTTGGGTGTATTTATGTGTGACTGTCAGAGTAGGGATGTATTGGTTCTTATTAGGGGCATGCCAAAAACATTTGAGAGGAAAAAAAAAAAGTGATACAGAGTCAATGCAGATAGGTTGAGATCGATTACATTTTTAAATGTCTCAGAGTCTAAATGTTAATGCTGGGAAACTTATTCCCCTTTCCTAGTTTCTCTCTCCCTTTCACAGTAGAAGTCCCCAGTGCAAGCTCTATGGTTAATAGAAAGCAATGATACTAATGCTACTTTGTACAAAGTAAAGCCCCATAACAGTAACTATTGTTCAGTGATTTAACTAGCTCTGTGGCAATAGGTCACTCAAATAGGAGTTCCTCCCCCACCAGAGTGACTCCATGGCTCACGATTTAGAAATATATAGAGTGGTTGTGATGACTCTTGGTATCGGTCCTAACTTAGAGATTTTTAGTAGAAAACATGAAATTTAACTAGCAGAAGAAAGAAGAAGGAAAAAGA